GGCTGTAGAATTGCAGCCGGGCTATAGTTCCTATCGCCGGGCTTTACACTTTATCGCCTGGCTCTTGCTCTTTCGCCATCGATTATAGAAGGCTAAAAGAAATTGTGTATAAATTCGTGTGCTTTGGAAATCATTAAGTTTGATACGGCACCACCTTAATATTTACAAAACACACGTTATATTTTCCTTTAATACATATTTTTTTCATCAATTAAAACGAGAATAATCCATACAGTATGTGCAAAAATTTCAAAATCATGAGTTGAATAACGCTGACTCCGCCAGATTAAGTATCAGAGCCTAACACAAAGCGGAGCGGCGACGCACTGGCGCCTACAAACCTAACAGGGATACTTCACGCATTGCGCAACGCGTGAAGTATCCCTGTTAGGTTTGTAGGCGCCAATGTGCGTTTCGAGCTGGCTGCCCGCCTGCCGCACCGCAGCGTGCCACGGCGCTTGAAGCAACTATTTCACACCAGAGGTATTGCACAGTATCATACGAAACTGAAGGCGCTCTAATATATTAGGAATGGCAGGCATCCATCAAAAATACGGAGCTTCCCTCGCAAAATAAATCAAGATACTACAGCCCTAAAAGAGAGCAGTGGTCCAAAAACTCACTAAGTCCTGGCATCCGTAATTAGTGGCGTTTAGCATACACTTTATCGCCTGGCTGTGAGTTGCTTAATCGCCATCGGCTATAAAAGGCTATAAGAAATTGTGTAGCCGGCTGTAGAAGCTATTGGAAATCTTACAGCCGGCCGTAGGTCTATGGTATTTTGGAACACAGATTCTACTGCCAATTTTTACCAGGGAAGTAAGAATCTGTAAGTGAATCTAGGGAAGAATTGAGTTTCAGGATATCAAAAATTCCAAATTTCTTGACATCTGCCGAATTCTAAATTGCATGTCTCGCTACCCTCGTTACTCGTTTAGGTAGCTGTGTCACTTGCTTAGTCGCGCACTCCATCGCATACCTGGGCGAATCACGCAGCGACCAATGCGAGTTATGCTTGAATTTTGACATGCAATACCCGTCAGTGCAGACTATGACGACTTTACCTACCACGATATTAGAGAAGCACGCGCTTTTTTCGCGTGCAATCTGATCTGTTGGGGGGCAAGCAATATAAAACGGTGCGCATTTCCTCAAAACAAAGACAGGCAAATTCAGGGTTACCCTCGGCCGTGCACGTTTCAAAATTCATACCGAATGATTTTGCCATGGCTATAGTGATTTCCCGGGCCGCTTCGGGGAGCCAGTCCGCCTCTCTTTATCAACAATCCTCTAACTCTCCTCTCCATAATTGAATCGGTCAGTTACGAAAGGGCCCAAGCGCCAAAAATGAGAATTTGAGAACAATGGTAATAACCGTTTTAATTGACCCCTTATAAATCTCAGAGCTCTAAAATACTAAAGCGATGAATTAACTCATTACATGATTAATCAATCTGCAATTTAAAATGGGGGTTTTCTTACAGTTTATACTGTTTTTTCGTATTTTTATGTCTGGCGCTTGATCCTTTTTGTAACTAATCGATTCTATTCGGGAGGCTGTAAGATGGCTGCGTTCAGGGATGTACCATCTTTCCATCGACAGCGAAATCTTACAACCCGGCCAATCGATCTTAGGTTGGCTCCTGCACTAGCTGAAAGAAGATGATCTGAATGATAACGTTTTCAACATTGTACGACAAGCATTGCGGCGGATCCAGCAATTTGGCAATACCGGATTCCCTCCATTTAAACCTATGAAAATGTATCGATTTTTGGAGGGGCCGGGTGCTCCGACAAGAATCGATTATTTAGCATAGGTTTAAATGGAGGAATTCGGTGTTGCCAAATTGCTGGATCCGCCTCTGACGACAAGACTATTGAAGATTCTCCGCAGTCGCCGCGCCGGCCAGTCATCAATGAAAGCTGTCTCTATACTCGCGTCAAGCTTGAAAATGGCTTACAACTAATTCAATTTGATCATAACTCCCCTGCCGTAATCTTGAATAAGGATTAAGTAAGTGCGTACTTCAATCGCGAATGCGAGCCCTCCGTAATAGCCTCATTACTTAGCCTGCACTTATCTCTAACATAGATAAATCCTTGATTTGAAGAATGGGACCCATCCCTAATTTATGGTTCTCCGGAGTGGCTTCAATTCGGCGTTGGTTTCCTGTAACGATTCGAAATGGGATTTTTCGTATTCTTACACCTCGTTCGACTCAGTTTGAACTACCCGCACTTGTCCAGTCAGAAAAATGTCAGCTGCAGCTCAGATCGTGGAACTGGGTATTTTTTGTACCCTGTTCGAGACCAGCAGGTTTACGGGTCTCTTAATTGCTTCGTAGATAGGGCTGAAGGGGGGAGAGGAGGTCCGGAAGTTCAAAGAATGGCGCTAACGATGCCTGGGTTTGTTCCAAGTCGACAAAAATGTTCACTGTAGGTTTGATTTCCTCCGCTTACTCTGTCAACAAGGGAAACCTTGAAAGTGGAATCAAAGGCTTTCAGATTTTTGAACTTAAAATTCGGACCGGTACAGAAGTATACTATCTAGATATACTGGCTGATCCAAAAGTCCAGCACTACTCCTGTAACTTCTGAAAAAATTGAGATAGAGACCTAGAATTGCTCTTTGGGCAAAGGAAAGGACATTTGGATATCCCAAAATTTTAGATAGACCCCTCAGAAAAAAGACCTCTGAGGTTCCCAGAGGTGGTCCGGGACTATTGGATTACCCTGTATGTAGTTAAACCATGCAATTTTGGCCAAATCACTCAAGTCTTTCAGAATTTAACTCTTACACATGACTTTTAGAAATTGGTGTCCGTAATGGAGAATTCTTGCGCATTTGACTGTGCTCCTACCTATGGATACAACATTTCTGTTCGAGCCATCCTACTAGTCAATGCGTAACTTAAAACATTTTCTATCGAACGTCTTTCTATTTATTCTCATAGCCATTTTCATTTCAGAAAGCGCGGTCAACAGAACTGAATTTTTACGCGCAAAGTTGGCGCTGCTTGTAAAACTAAAGACAAAATCCTCTTTCGATAGCACAATTTTCACTCACAACTTACAAGCAGTGATTGTTAAATATAGAAGGTCATTTAACCTCTTATTCATGATATGATCAGAAGAATCGATGTGTATACTATGTGCGGCAATCCACCGTCGTTACCTTAGACGGAAATAAATTCCGGATAAAAAGTTGTGAAATTATCGGTAAACTTGACGTAATTCTAACCTTTCCAGCTCCTAAATTTTATATCCATCGCTAAACCAGTGTGAGGAGCCCCTCCTTGCTACATTAGTTATTAAATAACTAGTACACCTCCCCCTTCTCTCATCCCTGGGGGCCTCTCCCTCGATTGGCACGAAAGCGCCGGGCAACCCTTTGCAGTGGTGTTGCTGTTGTATGTGTAGGAATTCATGTTTAAAAGAAACAGTTGACCTCAACGAGCGACCATTTCCCTGCCGCCCTTTTCCATCCCTGCCTTCCGAGCCCACCGAGCGTGGCGTAATTGCTAATGCGGTAGGACTTAGGAGGGCGCAATTTTTTCCACTGTTCTCATACACGCGAACGGTCACGCTCCTTAAGCATCTATCATTACCTGATGGGTCAGTCTCAGTGAATGTTTACTCATTCGATTTTACGAGATACGTTCAAAATTGAAGATCTTTAACAAGTTGTTGCAAGGTTGACTTTCATTCTTATTTATTGTTGTATGACTACACTTAAAAAACAAGTATGGGAAGAGTGACTTGCCGGCCGAGTTATGGATCATGAAGCCATAAATTATAGTTCGTGGAGCCATGCTTATAGGTTCACGACCAATAAAGTATGGCTCAGAAAGCCGTACTGTAGACGGTAAGTCACTTTGGTTAGAAATTATGGATCTCCGAACCATTTTTTATTGGTCTCAGAGACATACCTTTTTTTGAGTGTACGAGTTTCCTGGCGGGAAGTGACAAGTATCTACAGATTGTAGATATTTAAAGTGCAGTCACGTCCCTACAACTTTTCGTGAAAAAAATGGAAGCCGAGGTTTGTTCCCACATCAATGGGATTGATGTAAGATAGGGTTACCGCAGTCATAGAAAACCGGGCACTATATCGGAATTTTAAAAAATTGAGGGAAACCCTGAAAATGTCGGATAAAATAACGAAATTGCTTTAAAAAAATTTAAAATCTCTTTTGAGTGAATTTCAAGGTGAGGTATCTCGCTGGGCACTTGGGAGCAGAGAGAGACTGCTGATTGCCGAAGATGCAACGGCAACCGTTCGCGTTCATGAACGCGCCTCAGGTCTCATTTCGTACAAAATCAAATGAAACACGCCTTGCGAAGTTTAAAAATGTGTACATGCTCTTGTCTCAGGAGAATTTTCTCTCGACTGTCAAAGCGAATGATTTTGATACAGCTAGCTCTTGCGTTTTATAAAGCCACAAACTCGTAATGCGCCGAGAGAAAAATTTCAGTTTTCCTTCATTTCAGGGATTATGCGATTTGAGCCACATTGAAGTGGAAATAATTGTATCACGCTCATAGCTAGGCGCAACGGTTTTTAAAGGAGCAGAATGGGAATGCATTGGTGGTGAGATGCATAATTTCTTACGCGTTGCACGCACGTTGTCTAAGAAAACGCTCGAAAATTTCCGAGACTGAAAACTTGAAGCTTTGATGTAAACCTGTATACATTTGTCTGTATTGTCCAGTCAGTCGGTCGCGGTGGTGAAAGTTCGCCGTCAACTTCGAAAACTCGCAGTTTCGGTTCATTTTTTTTACCACAAAGCTAAAACTGTTAATTAAATTACTTTAAATTTTGAGCATTTGTCATTAAGGTGAAATCGTTTCATCTTTAAACCGGTTAAACTGTCATAAATTCAGGAACGTCAAATCGTGAGTATTTAATACTAATTGGAAGATGAAATCATAGCATGTGGATCCTTCAATTTGAATGAGATAATTTTTTGGAATTACAGCAAATTAATATTATGTTTCAGGTGGAATTGATCCTCACACTCACCTGGATGTTGAATTCATGGGGACCAAAAGTGCCGACGATTTCTATCAAGGCACCAAGGCAGCTGTAGCTGGTGGCACAACTATGATCAGTGAGTTTTCTGTTTTCCTCCTAAATTTTACCAAGTTCATTTTTAAAATTCATGAAAATTATGAAAGCCTGTATCAGGTTTTTTTTAAAGATAGGCTCGTCGATTGTTTGTAAAATGTACATAGAGTATAGAGAACTCATAGTTTATTCATCTTCTAATTCCCTTTTGTTTCAAGTGAAAACAAACCTCAATGAATCAAAAGTTAAGACAGCTGCCTGTCAAAACTGATGAGTAGTCGGCCGTGTTGAGGAAGAACGAGGTATGAACAGTCGAGAGTTGCCAAATTTCACATGATAAAACATGTATTTTTGACGACAATCATGCATATTTGTCCTTGAAATTTTCAGATATTTTAGATAAAATTGCGGACAAAATTGTCTGAGAATTTTGGAAAAAAATATTCACAATTTTCCCACTATATTCGGTTTTTATCAAAGGGAACTTGGCAACGTCTGAAGGCTCATACAGCGTTCTTCTTTAGCATGGCAGTAGTCTTAGTAAGCTACCATCGATGTTTAAGTCAAGGTTTCAAAGGGAATAAAAATTATTGCGGAGGTTATGAATCGTAAAATGAAGTGTTGAAATGATTTCTTTGAAAATCAAGGGTGTAGTGCACCATGTAAGCCTGTGGGGTTTTTCAAGTGCAAAATTTTACCTTGTTGAGTATGCCATTGCGTTTTTACACACTTGTTTCAGTAGTGTTGGCAAAATAGGTTTAAGAAAAGGGGCTTGTGGTGAACTTTTGAATGAACCTCAAACTCAGGATCAAACAAATTTTTGTATGTTGGATCTCATTTTAGGTCTCTGAGCCTAACATGGGATACAAGTTAGCCGAAATGTTTTCAATGTATAGATCAATCTTGGGCATTTAATCAGTCAAGCTTTTTTTTCAGTCGATTTTGTTCTGCCAGCAAAAGAAGAGTCTTTGATCGATGCCTACTATGAGTGGAGAAGACGCGCAGACGAGAAAGTGTGCTGCGATTATGGTCTACACGTTGCAGTCACTTGGTGGTCCAGCAGTGTAAGTTTTTCAACGTACTTAAAACTTAATTCATCTCTCCTGCTCCAATTTTTTCCCTCCAATATGGACATCAAATTTCGCCAATGATTAATGAGTATTTTATTCTGTATTATGAATATTCAAAAACGGAGGTAGGCTTCAAATTTAATCAATTGTCAACCCTTTATAAATAAATTATATTATGTCCATGCAATTTCTACATGTATTGTTCTTTGTATTTACAGGTCAAAAAAGAGATGGAAGAACTAGTCGAAAAGCATGGTGTGAACTCATTTAAGTCATTTTTAGCATATAAAGGAAGCTACCAATTATCAGATACTGAATTATACCATGTCTTTAATGCTTGTAAGGAACTAGGAGCATTACCCATGGTACATGCTGAAAATGGAGACATTATTGCAGAGGTTTGTTGTCACCCTTCCTTTTTCTATTCAGTCTATTAATCATTTTTCAATGGAATAGAATAGGGTCTACAAAAGTTGCTGACATTTCTTTTTTCAACAAATTGTTGTTTTATGAAATTATTCTAAAAAACTTTGCTGTTGCTTTTTTCCGGCAAATTCCTCCTGACAACTTGTAAGACCATAAGGCCCTGTCCACACAAGCGCAGGTTCGCGGAACTTATTCGACGAACTGCTCAGTTCCTGGAACTTATTCCTTGAAACGAGGCATGCTGTCCACACGAGTTCGCCCAAACTGGAACCGTAACTTCAATAAAACTATACAATTATTGCAAAATAATAGATTATTACGGCCGCCAAAGTAACAAAAATAAATGTCAAGATGCATATAAAGGACGTAAAAAACAAAAACAAACAAATTCACATCAAAAGAAACATATGTAGAAGCTCGGAGTACGGGGGAAGTTCCAGGTTTTGGAGGAATAAGTTTTGTTTCGGGAACAAGTTCCTCGAAATAAGTTCCGCGAACCGCGCTCGTGTGGACAAGGCCTAAAGAATAGTGGCTTTCCAGTAATCCAATGATTAGAAGCAGACAGGATGTTTATTACTGAAATTTAATTGCTGGCAGCTAACTGACTGGATTTCTCAATTGATAACTTGCCGATAATGTACACTTGAGAAACAAGTAATACCTATAGTAAATTTATTTAATTTTGCTTGATGAGAATTGCACCTCTTGTCGAACATAGCATTACCATTAGCATTTTTTAAAGTTAAAGTCACTGGTTACTAACCAAAGCATAACTGGGATGAGAAGGAGATGGAGGTAGAGTCTCTAATAAGCGTAACTTTGTGATAAGCAATAGCTACGCCAAGAAGTTTGCATTTCTAGTCAATATAATTTATAAAAAGCCTTTTTTTTCAGTATTCCTCAATTTCTCATACACCTTTCTGTAGGGTGGGATCTAGAGAATCCAATCATATTAACCTGTTAAGTCTTGAAACTCCATCGAAACATTAACAGTTAGTTTTTCGGTTACCTGTTTAACATTTCGTTTTCTTCTTTTCTAGAACACAAAAAAATTGCTTAATGCGGGTATTACTGGACCTGAAGGTCATGAGATGTCACGGCCAGAAGAAGTCGAAGCAGAAGCAACAAACCGAGCCTGTGTCATTGCCAATCAGGTATGTTGATTTCTACTAGGCATCTCATTAGGCACCTTTTGATTTTGTTTTAGAATTGTGTAATGCCTAAACATTTTTGAACAAGATTCGTAAAAATATGAGGTCAATAACAACAAGTAATCAAATGGTTGAAAAAGGCTCGTTCAACAATTTTTCAAACGCATACTCACCGTCGGATGAACCTCGTCAGACAATTTTTCTGAGGGACCTTAATCCTCAGCAGGACCGACCGTAATATTTTGGGAATACTCAGTACACCGTGGATCTTAATCTCAGCAAGTGTGAAACGACATGGTTAACGGAAAGTTAATTTTCCAGCACCATATTCTGACTGAATTAAAAAGGGAAACGTCCCAATTATCACGTCTGAGCATGCATATTTTTTTGCCATAATTCTTTTTAGTTATTTGTAATCTCTTCAATCCAAGCCAAAATTTCTTAGTCTCCGCTTTATCAGTGTCACGACCATTGATTTCTAATTCTCAAAATGGTCAAAAGTCTAAGTAATGATCTAGACAGATGTCCTCTTACTTGCAAACTTTTTGCATGCATTGTTTGTATTTTTACTTCGCCCTCAACTCAGAACGTTAATTTTTCTTGTGCTGTCGTTCCACTGTAATCTGCCTAAAAGTTCATATAAGTTTTCCTTAGCTGTTCTTATTTTCTATTTTTACTTGATTCTTTTGTTTTCTTATCCCCGTCCATCACCCTGATTTCTTTTCTAGCATTCTTTGCATTCTCCACTGCCACAAAACATTTTTATCGCCCATGTTTAGTTTTTTGAAAAATAAATAAATTTCTCCTGCAGTGCAGTTGCAGTGATGCATGCAATAATCTGACAAGATCTTTTTTTCTCATTATTTTAAACTTAGGCGATTGGTTTTTAATTAATATGAGTTTTAGAACCACTAGCATTTATGTTGCACTCACCGAGCAGTACGGAATATTTAAACTTCCTCTGTCCTATCGTTTTCTTGAATTATTTCTCCCATATCAACCTTCAAGAATACTTTGAAGTAAAGAGACATGTTGTACTCAGCGAAAGTCAGTGATCTTCCCAGAAAGATCTTTTGCATTCAGCAATGGGTGCTTTTTAGCATCCCGACCCCCTCCTACTCTATTAAAAACTACTTGATTTTAAAGGGGAAGTTAATTTCATGGTAACACAGGAAGCATTCTCCGATGATCGTGAAAGTGTGACTGAACACTCCAAATCACTCTTAGTCACTCGCAAGCTTTACAAGCTTTAGCTAAGATTGCGAAACTGTATTTATTGATCCGGTTATTTTTTAAAGAATGATTTTTGTAGGTTGGTAGTCCGTTGTATGTAGTACACGTTATGAGTAAATCAGCTGGAAATGTTGTGGCAGCCAAGCGTGATGAAAAATTAAGTAACGGTGAAGAGTGTGTAATTTTCGGGGAGACTTTAGCAGCAAGTGTCGGGACACACTCCCATGGCACAGGATATAGCTGCTGGAGCCATGCCGCTGCTCATGTCTTGAGTCCACCTCTGAGACCTGATCCAACTACGCCCGAATACTTAATGCGGCTGCTAGCAAAGTGAGTACCCACAGCAATGGTTCGACGCAAAGACATTATTATCTGAAAGTTAGAGCATTGGTTGATAAGAATGAGATCGGGAGTTAAAGAAGCCTTCATGTAGCCCAAGTTGGCCTCCGCTTTAGTATCCTAAACGAGAACCTTTTTTGAAATCATCTCAGACCATTAAAAATAAGTCTTTGAATTAAACCTAGGGAGTACCGACAATTCTTTAACATGTGAAACAATCTATTTTTCATGCCTTCTTTTAAAATAACATTTTTGGCATGTGGTTATTAAAATTTCATCCGAAGTGTTAAATATCCTAATCGTTGATTCTCGTTTGTACAATACAACTAAAAATTAAGTGATGCTCTTCCTTTCAGATTGAATTGCTTTGGTCCCATACTTAGTTCAATGGGTACTAATCAGTAACTTGTAACCGTCACACTAATTCCAGTATGTAGAAAGGCGATGGGTTCTTTATGAATAAATAATTTATGAGTATATTGTGCATTGATTGTACCAAAATCCATAACCATAAACCCTGGCACCATCTCCATTTTCTGGTCTTTTTTCTTGTCTGTGAATGTTTTTGAGCATGTTATTGTCATCTGCAAACGCTTCTCCTTTTATTTATTTGTTTCTTCCTGAATGCTGCGTGGTTTTTTTCCAAATAACTTTCTAACTTGTAATTCATTGCATGAGTTATAAATGGTTATCTCTTCTTCTTCTTGCACTACCTGATTTTGTGTGTTCACTAACAATCTAAAAATCCATGTAGAGTTCTTTTGTTTGTTGCTTTGCAAGAAATTTTGGAGAATACTTATAATTCAATCGAGGCATGTATTTTATCATGTAGCCATATCTACACTGTACAAAGGAGTCTCTGAACAAAGTACAGGTCTTTAATACATTGATCTCATTACTCTTTCTTCAAAATTGATTACCAGTTAAAGCTGTTATTTGTCATAACTGGATCTCAAAGAACTAAATCTATTATAACCTAGTTTCGGCGTTGAAACATTTTGTTTTCAGCTCTGTGAAGAAGCACGGAAGATAGAAGCAAACTTTTTATCCTTTAACTTATTTTGAAAAGAATGTAACCGCAGCATTGATCTTCTCATCTCAATGGAGAAGCATGAAGCTGTTGGGACTATAATATTGTACTGTTTACTCTCTTACCCTGTTCAAACATTGGAGAGGAAAAATCGGCTTTCTCCTTTCACAAAAACTCTGTAGTAACTCCTATTGCGTTCATTAAGGCACAACAGCTTGCCAGCAACTTACCAAAATTGAATAATTATATAACGTTAGAACTTCTCAGTAAAGTTCTCTCTTTTTCTCTTTACTTCTTTCCAAGCAGTAAGGATACTGTGTTTAGAGCATAAGGCTCAGTTCATAAGTAAGGGAATTTTTATTTTGGGTATTAATACAAGAATATTGTGGTGACATCAAAAATTACGAGGGGCGTTCAATAAGTGAGTATCCCCCCTCTCTAAAATCCATAAGAATGGACCAATTTTAAAAAACTTGGGCTCAAAATCTTTCTTAGGATATTTTGAGTTCAACAAAACAAACCGCAACAAAATCGGACTATGTGCGGCCGAACGCGAGCCGTTTGAACGCGCCGAGGAGCTCGACGCTCCCGCCGAATCTGCGAGGATTTGAAGTCCGCTACTGGAGAAGAGCTTCTCTGCCAAAGCCTCAGTCGTTCATCACTGACGAAAAATCAAAGAAATTTTTGTAGAATAAGGGGCTTACCTCACTTCTCCACATAAGCAGCTCGATCCAAGCAAGTCTGATACTGAGACTAAGACTAAGAGAACAGCTTTTGGATGCCTCGTGCGTGGAAGTCTTTCAGCTGACCGCGGATGAAAGAGTGGACGGCTTGTTTGACCTCTTCCACTGATTCAAAATTAACTCCTCCGAGTTCAGATTTCAGATACGATAATAAATGGCAAACCAGACCACCATTTGTTCCCGTTCCTGAAATCTGAACTTGGAGGAGTAAATTTTGAATCAGTGGAAGAGGTCAAACAAGCCGTCCACTCTTTCATCCGCGGTCAGCTGAAAGACTTCCACGCACGAGGCATCCAAAAGCTGTTCTCTTAGTCTTAGTCTCAGTATCAGACTTGCTTGGATCGAGCTGCTTATGTGGAGAAGTGAGGTAAGCCCCTTATTCTACAAAAATTTCTTTGATTTTTCGTCAGTGATGAACGACTGAGGCTTTGGCAGAGAAGCTCTTCCCCTGCAGCGGACTTCAAATCCTCGCGGATTCGGCGGGAACGTCGAGCACCTCGGCGCGTTCAAACGGCTCGCGTTCGGCCGCACATAGTCCGATTTTGTTGCGGTTTGTTTTGTTGAACTCAAAATATCCTAAGAAAGATTTTGAGCCCAAGTTTTTTAAAATTGGTTCATTCTTATGGATTTTAGAGAGGAGGGATACTTACTTATTGAACGCCCCTCGTAAAATATCATAATATTTTCAAACTTTTGGGTTTCACCCTTTCTGCTTCCAACCCTGGATATGCAAATGAAACTCGATTACATACGATTTCCTTCCAGATTGAATTTGACAGCCGGATTTCAACCTGTACTTTCTCGCGAATTTAAAAAAAATAGAGCGAAAATATCATCCTTATTAGCCCTCACGTTTTCATTTTGTATGGATTTGATTAAGTCGACAGGGACCAAGTAATGTCAAATAGGAAATAAGATTTTTAAAAATTTCCCTCTCTCTCATATAGCTCAGCATAAAGATGACTATCAGGTTCATGTTGGGGATGCTAGAATCTCCCTGTAGGTCTAGATTTTGGCAGGAGAAACTGAAATACCAGTGAAATTCAAATTCAGTCACAACTCAATTTTTTTGGAAATGTAAATTTGTTCCTTTGTGTTGGACTTTGTCTATTAATTAATACAATTAGTGTCTCGCCTATTTATGTGATTCGTACTTTTAAATCAACCTCGTGTCAGTAACTAGACATGAGTATCCAGGCATCCAGTTGAAAGAACAATTCTCCGTCACTCTCTGTCATTTTTTTAAAGTCATTTATCGTAAAAAAAAAAAATCCATAAGATACTATTCTTGCTAATTTTAAATTGAAAAGATTGAGGCTTTTTTTCAAAGCAAGAAATTATTTACCCTGCAAGATATTAAATTAAAGAGAGCAGTTGCGAAGAAAATTAGAAGCAGATATTTCAACAAGCCCTGTAATTTGGTAACCTTTATTTAGTATGGTGGCCATTGCTTCTAAAATTCACAATCATGCACCTACTTAAATGGATGTCTAAGATTAAAGTATTTGCAGATGACTACTGAGTAAAACCTTTTCAAATTATAGAGCATCTAGTTCCCTTGGATATCCAATCTGTACGTGCTAGAGATTTTTTCACTCAATTCTGTATAAGACTGCAGGTCGATCATTGAAATTGTAGCTGAAGCAATAGACAAAGAAGACCTAAGGAGTTTTGAACGATCTTATTGGTTAAAATAGGTGGTTCCTGAAGACTAAAGGAGAAAACGATGGACTAAATATAGGGGGTGGGTTGCTGTTAGTTAGTAGACCTGGTTACCTACCTCATTCGGCCATTGCAACCACCTGCTGCCGCCAATAAGATCCCTCCATGTCCCATTTGTCTTCTTTGTCTAAGCTTTGTCCATAAATTTCAATAATTAGCCTGCTGGTTTGCCTGATTTTATCATGTTGCTGGATTGCAATATCATTCTCTTGAACACAAAACTCAGTCATGAGGGGTTTGCTGTAGGTGGAGAGTCCTATTTACGTGACAAGAGTGATGAGTAGATCATCAGGAGAAGTGATTAAAACAAGGCGAGCTGAAGGTCAAGTTGTGTTTGGCGAAACGCTGGCTTCTGCAGTAGCCCTTTCTGGAGCTCCACCTCACAATAAAAGCTTCCTCCGAGTTACCAGCCCTCCACTGCGCCCCGATCCCAACACTCCTGAACACCTCCTAATGCTTTTAAATGAGTAAGTTCATGGGACTTGTCCAGTTATTGTTTTATGCATGCATCTAAACGTTAAAACCCTAGTTGAATTCAAGAGGTTTGAAGCTATATTTGGAAAAGAATGGCTATGCTTTGACTTTCCAAGCAAATCCAACCATTCGATGTGTAGTAGCAATTTCATTCTTAGCTTTCATCATAAAATCTATAAGAGTTTTTCATTGAGTTCAAACGTTTCAAATTTAATGAAACTTGAAAATGTTACACTGATCAGGCAAATATCTGAGAGTGGATTCGGCTCACCTCTTAACGAGATTTCACAGAACTAACAACTGACAGAGGAAAACACTCTCCGAGAGAAGTGAAGACCTAAACTTTGCGATCTGATGACTTATGACCAATTTTTTCATCCTTGGGAGGGTGGTTCGGGAATTTTGGATGTGGTGGATTGCTGCCATCATAAAAACCAGGTGTTATAGGACACTTTCGCCAGGAGGGAATTTCGTTTTATTGTAACAGAATCTGGGAGTAAGTCGAAAACTTTACGGAATCCACTTGCGGAAATTCGCCTTTTGTTATCGGGAAAGTTAATTGAAGTTGCTTGATAATTCAGGATTTAGAGTACTGCTTTTAAGTTATTTGTTGCTTGTTCTTCACAAATACCGAGTTGTGTCTCAGTTAGAATCAATCATTAATGTGGCTCAACTATTCTTGTTAATGATTTTTCATGTGCCAATGGTTTTTCATAGAATATTGTATTTTCTCACTTTGGTAGTAACTAGCATATAGTATAGCCCTAATACATAGGTAATCTACTAATTTGCTTAATTTGGTACTAACCCTCTTGTCGCTGAGTTGGATCAAAAAATACCTATAACTGCCTGACAGATTAATCTTGGTTCTTTCAAAATAGGGGTTTTTTTTTCTCTTCATCCAATGCATGTTTCCCACCGTCCAATGTAGAGAAATCAAACTTATTTTATGAGCCAAAAGTTCCTATTTTGAAGATATGTTTATTGAAATCAGCTAACTGAAAAACCAATGAAGTGCAGTAATGCCTCACAGAGAAACCATCATACTTTATAAATTCGGACCTCTCACAAAAACACATTCTGCGATCTATCTAACACAATATTGCATAGCATGGTTTCTGCCTCCTTGGTGTTACCAATGATATTTGTCGAGTAACGTAACCTGTACAAATATGTTCATCATTTAATGCCAAACGCATTATGGCAGAAATTGAGGTATACCCTACTGTAGTGGATCACGTTGGTTTTGAGAAGGATACATCTACTATAATATTAAACATGGCAACTTAATGTTCAGACTTATCTCATTAACACTACCAAATCTAAAGGATTAAATTTTCAAAATAGAAATCAGTGAGTAGCGCAACTGATCTATTATGAGTGCCATCTTGCATCTTCACTACTCGATGGAACTCAACTTATAAAGCTACTTGTAAATAGCATTGTAGTGCCTAACATTTTTGAAAAGTTAGAAAAGTTAACATTTTATAAATACTGATTAAGTCAGGAGATTTTAAGAATAATCCTTTTTTTGATTCATCGTGCAAGTATCGTCCTTTTTCACTCACCAAACTAATTAATATTCGAATCACCCTTTTAGAACTTGTGATGTAACCTGAAATAACACTTACAAAACTTTAGTGACATTCATGTCTCTTCTTTAAGGATTTACCGTGGCCAAATGTAATGCGTAACATATAGTGTTGGAGTACCCTCTCAGTTCGCTTCATCCTCTTCTCTTTTCAGTGAGATAGTCACTCAACACCAACCGTTCATGTTTTATTATTAATGTGCATGAATTGTTTTTCTAGTGATGGCCTCCAACTCACAGGCAGTGACAACTGCACATTCACGGCGGAGCAAAAAGCTGTTGGTAAAGAGAATTTCACGAAGATACCCAATGGTGTAAATGGTGTTGAAGATAGAATGTCCGTTGTCTGGGAGAAGGGTGTGGAAACTGGAATCATCGACCCTCCTCGATTTGTTGCTATCACAAGTACTAACGCCGCAAAAATATTCAATATATATCCTAAGAAGGTACTTAATGCATCAATTTTCAACTGGCCTAGTGCCCAATCCACCCATCTGTCAAACCTTTGTATTATCTAAAAAGCTGTTTGAAGATGAAGCACTTTGAATTTACCTTTTTGTTGCATTTTATTTTATTTTTTTTATTCTCAATCAAAAAGTTGCTTACAGATGGGTGCTGATTTTCAACCAAAACGTTCCTTTCATTTTGAGGCTTAAATAAATTCCGATTTTGTCTTTCTTTTTAATCCGTTTTATGATTATCCACTTTTAGAATTACAAGTTATTTTAGATATTGGTCTCTCTAGCAGAGCCTCTGTCTCTAATGCTGCAGTAAAGATTTCATTTCTGATGTTGTCTACATATTTCAAGATTTTAATTCTCTAATAAATCAATCTTTTTCTCCTCTGTAACTTTATTTTCCCAATATAGTTTAATATCTTGTGACTTGCATTTTTTAGGGAGTCCTTGCAGTTGGCTCTGATGCTGATATTGTGCTTTGGAATCCCCGTAAAACACGCACCATCTCAGCAAAAACTCACCACCACAAAACGGACTACAATATTTTTGAGGTGAGTTACTTTTTCATCATATTTCTAAATCACTTCAGTTGTGAACTAATAAAGAAGGGCACAAACCAATCATTTAGATACTTATTCTCTCTTATAAATTTCATGAATAGATGGTGGATCCAAGTAAAATTTTCATTTCAACTGGGAAGAAAGAAATTTGTACGTTTGAGGCTTGCAAATTCATACTTTCAACTGGCTGAATAGCCATTGTTTGTATACTTTATTCAGCTTGGGTTCAACATTAAACATTTTAATCAGGTTATAACCTAATCATTTGCTTAGTAAGTAGAAACGTTCCTCACCAGTTAACAAGCACTGTAAATCTGAAAGGAATCATGTTTTTGGAAATCCGACTCTTGTCATTTTGCGAACGGTGAGCTCATTTTCAATGACCTACCGGACCTTTTCTGCAAGCCGGAATTTTCTGCTTCAAGTCAAGTTAGAGGTTTTTTTTTTTTGTATTTTTCTAATCAAATTTGAGCTTTTAAAATTATTCTCAAGTCAAGTCAAGCTTGAGAAAATTCGAGTGGCGTTTGAGTTTGGCGTTCGAGTGGAGTACGAGTGAGGTGAAGTTGAACAACTTTTTACAAGCACTCCCCCTCATAGCTTTTGACTCACGCAAAAGTGATTGACAAAGAAGAGTATTGAGGTGTGACACTTGAGCACGTATTAAATATTTAGGATCATCTGTCAAATTATGTTTTCAATGTTATCATCCGATTAAGCTGTTGAGTTAAGAATTCAATGCATGTAAAAAATACAAGAAGTCTTCTCCTAGAGTAATGGTCATTTTCTATGTTAAGGGTCTGACCTGCCATGGAGTTCCTGATTATGTCATCGTTGGTGGTCGTGTATGCGTCGATGAAGGAGAATTGAAAGCTGTTCAAGGTTTGGGTAACTTTGTTCCAACCCCTACCTTCTCTCCCACTTGTTATCCAGCATTTAAACCAGAGGTATGTCTTTTCTTTTAATACTTCTCATTTTTCACACTTTTTGGTAGGACCTATGTTAAAGCATAAACTGTGAAGCACATACCCAGTCAAGGCAGAATATTTAGTTGATGTTATTATTGATCATGGAAACTTAGAGTCATCGTAAAAATGTTTCCGTAAACTCCAAAAACTTGATGATGGGCCGCTAGAAATATGCCGTAGGTAAGGGAATTTCCAACTTAAACAAAATCCAGGTTCCAGTTCATCACAAAACCAATAACATTGTATGTATGAGGAAGTTGACGCGACTGGAGGAAATTTTCAAGTTATTTGTGTACCAATAATCAACAGGAACATATCACAACATGTCAACATGAGTGCTATGGTTTGCTTGTTTGCTCGTAATCGTCCCTCAAACAATATTGCAGAATTCTTTTAAAAAAATCCTTCCCAAAAGAGTCTTTAGAGTCTTAAAAGTTCTTTTTCTTTCTTTTTAGTCGTGCGGCGAAGCCGTATAGACTCTNATGTTCCCAAATTACTAGGTAAGGCTTTTATCAGCTCATCATCTGATCCAATAATTTTAATTGTGGCATTTCATTCGGCATGTCGCCGCACGACTTCTATGATACTCAAAGTCTCACATATATAATTTGAAAGGGGGGGTCTGGGGGGGCGGCGCCCCCTCAGCAGGTAGCTTTTGCTACTTGTTTTTCTTTTTCTCATTCCAATGGGTTCAGTAACCTTGTCCTAGACTATTTTTAAACTCTAGGTTAATTTTTCTTTTTTTCCTCTCAATCATGGAGCAAGAGATTTTAACTTGAAAATTGTTGCAATTTAAGTTAAGACGATCTGTCTACGGAATTTAAGTGATATAAAATAAAAATATATAATGAGGGAAAAAATCATAACGATGGTTTTTTATGTTGCTGTGAAAGAACATAAGAGTAATTGCCATTGTTTTCTCAGAAATTTTAAACTAATCAGTCTGATGCTTTTAATATTTCTAGGAAAATGGAATTGATAAGAATGCCATCATTCATGAAGAAATAGCAGCTCTCCGGCTCAATAATACTTCAAGTAAACCTTCCAGTGTGGCAAGCAGTGTTTTTGGTGATGATGCGCAGTCAAATGTTAGGACTGGCAAAGGTATGCGACAAGATGGTCAGCGAGATCTCCAAGGTTCCTCTTTCTCCATCAGTTGTGAGTTTCTTTTCATTTTACGCTTGGTTCATATGCTTGGCTTCATTATTAGTCTAATCGACGGATTTTAGAACTACTTATGTGAGAAACAAATTTTTCCATTTTTGCTTTGAAAGTGCAATGGGTCAGTTGCCTTATTTGCAGAATCGTGTTGTGATGGTACATCTGGTTGAACACCAAGTTTCTGTGTCAAATATTAACAAAGATATTGCTTACTGAAGAATACGGTGTATGATGTTATCCACTTTGATGTTAGCACCACAAATTTTTCATTTTTATCAATCAGTGATATACACTTTTTCACTGTTTGCTTAACATCCAACACAGGTGCAACCAAGGTGGGAGAAACTAAGGTATGCATTACCGCAAGGATGATATCATACGTTGTGTTTTTTGATGGGCGATACCTCCGTTAACATTGGACGTAAAAATTCAGCATTTGGACAGATCTTCTTAATTTTTGCAACTCAAGAAGCTTAAACCAATTCTGTGACTAGCGCAACTGACCCATGGCAGGGCTCATCACTGTTTTCTTTTTACAATGTCGTCTACTCCTCAGCAAGTACCTGTTTGTCTTTTTGCCTGTTGGCAACTAGAAATTGGTTGGCAAATATTTCTGGGTTACTAAACTAGAGGGCAGGTTCTCAAATCTATGGTATCAGTGATTGTTAGTAATAGATGCCGAAATTCCTTATATGCTAAAAAATACTCTTTTTAGAGGTGGGTCCAACCATCTTGCATGAATTATAGAGTACAAGATGTATTGATATTGAGCTCAATTTCAAAATAGCGTTGAAACTGTAAGGAGGGGTGGCGATTTGGGCCATTTCCGGCCCCACCTAATCCGGGACTTTTTTTGCTGTGATTCGTTACGTATAAGTGTCAAGAGAAAGCATGCCAAGTTTCAGGCCGATCGGCCCAATATTCGGGGGGCAGGGGCCCCCCGAATTTTTAAGCGCAAAATCGGTTTTAATTTTGTAGCGCCGTCAATTTCGCTCGTATACAGATGAAAATTGGGTGCCAGGGGTAAAATTTTGCGTTCTTTCCATTTCCGCCGTCAAAATTGGCACTGGGGCAAAATTAAGGGGGATTTTGGGGGGTTTTTCGCGATTTTTCGCGTTTTTTACCAATTTTCTGCGGTTTTCATGCTTTAAGTCAGAGATTTTCAGCCAAACGACCACAGATTTGATTTCTACGCAAAAAATTACATAGGAACACAATGACCAACTAACACTCAACAGCGGATTTCTCTAGGAAAAACTGACCCATAAGTATGTGTTCACTCAGAAATTTTGAAAATAGCCATGTTTCGGGTACAGCCCAAGCTTGTAGCACTACCATATTCACATATGATACGCTCTAGGTCGACCCTGTTGATATTATCGGGAACTTGAAATGCTACCCGCTTGGGCGGAGGGTCGAATTCTCCTCAGAAACGAATAAAAAGGCGATAAAATTACGTTTCACGTGAATTGTTGCGAGAGGAATGTTATTATATCGGCAACTTTCACCTCCAACTTATGTAATTTTTTGCGTGCTTTCCATTTCTGCCATGAAAATTGGCATCAAAGCAATTTAAAACGGGTTTTTTGGGGTTTTTTATAATTTTTTATCATTTTTTACCAGTTTTTTCCGGTCTTTAGCGGTTTTCATGTTTGAAACCTCATGTGGCATATCAGTTCTGTGGTTTCTTGGTTTTTACCGACATCAAGAAAAAGAGCTCCGAAGACTGTCATCCTCTTATGGAGACTGCCTAGAGGATGCTGCTTACTTATGGTCTGACGAGGATTCAGAATGAGAGATAAGGATATTACACAACATTTCTTCTGCTATACGATTCATCCGTGACGTATTTTATGGATGTGATAGTAAATGTATTTTGAGAAAAATTAAAATTTGTGGTCGTTTGGCTCATTTGGTGAGGTTTCAAACATGAAAACCGCTAAAGACCGGAAAAAACTGGTAAAAAATGATAAAAAATTATAAAAAACCCCAAAAAACCCGTTTTAAATTGCTTTGATGCCAATTTTCATGGCAGAAATGGAAAGCACGCAAAAAATTACATAAGTTGGAGGTGAAAGTTGCCGATATAATAACATTCCTCTCGCAACAATTCACGTGAAACGTAATTTTATCGCCTTTTTATTCGTTTCTGAGGAGAATTCGACCCTCCGCCCAAGCGGGTAGCATTTCAAGTTCCCGATAATATCAACAGGGTCGACCTAGAGCGTATCATATGTGAATATGGTAGTGCTACAAGCTTGGGCTGTACCCGAAACATGGCTATTTTCAAAATTTCTGAGTGAACACATACTTATGGGTCAGTTTTTCCTAGAGAAATCCGCTGTTGAGTGTTAGTTGGTCATTGTGTTCCTATGTAATTTTTTGCGTAGAAATCAAATCTGTGGTCGTTTGGCTGAAAATCTCTGACTTAAAGCATGAAAACCGCAGAAAATTGGTAAAAAACGCGAAAAATCGCGAAAAACCCCCCAAAATCCCCCTTAATTTTGCCCCAGTGCCAATTTTGACGGCGGAAATGGAAAGAACGCAAAATTTTACCCCTGGCACCCAATTTTCATCTGTATACGAGCGAAATTGACGGCGCTACAAAATTAAAACCGATTTTGCGCTTAAAAATTCGGGGGGCCCCTGCCCCCCGAATATTGGGCCGATCGGCCTGAAACTTGGCATGCTTTCTCTTGACACTTATACGTAACGAATCACAGCAAAAAAAGTCCCGGATTAGGTGGGGCCGGAAATGGCCCAAATCGCCACCCCTCCTTTAGCATCAGCATTAATATGAAATAGTCAATGTTCATTCAACTTTCAGCGTCGTTCTAAAATTCATTAAATTAAATCTAAAGCAAAATTCTGGCCCGTACTTTTTCTCCAACGCTAGGAAATAATTGCTGGGCGTCAACAGCTTTCTGCCCCACCTTGAATCTCACAGTTTTTTAAACCTTATTGAGTTTGCATGTGAGTGCATTGCACTTCTTTAATCGGAAGATATTATTGTTACAGCTGAAGTTGCTGGAGACGGGCCTCGCTCTTCGATCCGAGTTCATAATCCACCCGGTGGAAAGTCCGCTGGTGGATTTTGGTAAACCAAAGAACCAATTTGTTTTTGCAAATCAGTCATTCAACATTGTCGTACTCATTATATTTAAATACCTAGCCTTTTCTTATCAAGAATGTTTTGCACAGTTTTCATGCAATTCTATCAAATAATCAAACAATTTACAAAGGACTCCAGATGAAGAGCTCTATTTGCACAAATTTTGCCAGATTTGTGACTTTTGTTAATTTTATAGCTTCTAGCATTTTGCATTGAATTTTATTCATTTTATTTGTTCTGTTTCCGCCATTATGCATTTCATCCAAACAGCTTTATCATATCGATGTAACATCAAAATATTAAGTTCCCTATTGCGTAGTATTGATCCAGTCTTTCAAATTCTGTCATCCATTGAAAATAAAACTGATTAGTCTAATTTATAAGCTTTAACCGAGTCTTAATATTTCAGGAACAATCCTACCTGTCTGAGCTATTTTCTAATCAAATTTACATAATTTTCTAAAGTCATGGATTTTCTCACAGGGAAATATCTTCAATTAATCAGTTATTTTCACCATTTGTTCAGTAAAGTGAACAAGTAGACAGTTCTTATTTCTATGAAATTAGTTAAGCATTTAGAAAATTAACCTTTACTTAACAGGTTTATATGGTGGTCAAGCACTGGGTATGACCTAAAATAAATCTATTTATGGTAAGAAGAGAAGGGGAAATATTCCGTGCGTAATTTATAGCCCACAAATTAAACTTGACTGATTTCTCTGAATCATGATTATTATAATCTTGTAAAAAAAAAAATTGATATGTTTTTTTTATCTAAATATGGTAAAGTAGCATTGATTGTGTTTACAATTACAGTGAATTTATATGCCTGCAGCTGTGATGGCAGGAACTGGAGTTCATTTTTTAAGCTAATTTTAAAGCAACTTTCTTTTTTTTTTCTTAAAAAGAAAAAAGTGAAAAAGTTAAAGAAAGCTTATTCTTTTTTTGACCTGCATCTAAACTTTTAGCTCCGTTACTTTTTCTTCATTTTATTATCAAAAGACCTTTATTTCAATTGAGTCCTTACTTTATTTAATTTTAATAATGCATAGTTCGAGGATTAAAAGCTCATGTTTGTACAGCAAAAGAATGTGTATGCTTGCTCTCTTTTATTTATTTTTTTTATTACCAGCTGTAACTTCCTATTTAATTATTGTCTATGTTACTCTTTTGATACAAACTATCATGAAGAATTTTCATAAGCATCATTTTATACTAGAAATTAATTTTTTTAATGTGGTGTTTTCTTTCATCATAAAATGATAAGAGGATTACTTAGGCAAAAAGTTGTGTTGTTTTTCTTTGAGAGTTGATTGAATGGCATCAGGTTGTATTGTTGAATCAATTTTTCACAAATTCAGGATCAATATTGTGGCTTAAAGATGACTTAACTTAATCACGTACATGTGTGCTTGTTTTTTTGATATGAGCTTGAAACTTTTGATGTGCTTATAATTAAAAGATGGCCCTGATCTATCTCTTCTTCTCAAATTTTCTTGATAGATTGTTTTCTTCCTCATCTAATCAACGCATCACATTGTTAGTTTTTGTTTTTATGTTTTTTCTGTACAGTAATTCAGTCGGTTTATCTAGTTGTTATTCAGTATTCAGTCTGCGTTGAATTCACACTGTACTTCCTACTCATGTTCAAACTAAACTATTTTCATGAATCGAGTTCAAAAAAAGTGTAAAAAGATTCCTAAATGATCAAGTGTTAAAGGCATCATCATAGTCGTCCAATTAGTTTCATTCATTCAGCTGCAATATTTTCTTCACAGAGCTTTTAGTAATTGAGAATACACAGAGAAATAAAAATATTAAGATAAATCTTAATAAACACAGATAGTGTAAACAAAGGAATTATGCACCTCACAGCAATAAGTTGAATAATCTTAAGTTTTGGCTTCTTGAATTGTTTTAGTGTGAAGATCACCCTCAGTTCAATCGAGATCTCAATTTATTGTGGGTACACATTTGTTTAAAACTAATTGTAAGTACTTAATCAGAATTGCAGCTTTGAAGTACCTCGGTAATATTTTCCAGAGGCTGTCTAAGAGCCTACTGTTCAGTCTTCATTTTCTAAAAAATGTGTCTCAACCTAGGTGTTCTTTAATGCCTATCTAACTTGATTGTGCCTCTGCCAATATCATCAATTTCTACCTTTTCCTATTAATATTTAGTCTTTCAAAAGTTGAATCAATGTACTCCATTGAAATCATGAAAGCCGTCTACTGTTTTTTACAAATTCTTAATTAAAGCTTCAAATGTTTCAAAGAATGAGTTATTTAAGGGAAAAACCACTGATTGGAACCTTTTTCCACCTATAAAGGATTCACTGTAGTCCCTCAGAAAGCTAGCTTCAATATTTTGCTATTTACTTTCCATTGATTAGTTGCAATAATCATAACAATGACACTAGGGCTGCACAACAGCTGCGAGCAAACTTCCCTCTCTTCAGAATAATTGTGTTTGTTCTGGGCTGGGAAACTATGAGTGGCCTCTCCATGCAAAACACAGACCAAGGTACCAATCAAGACGTTTTCCTTCTAATAACCTTGTTTGTTTTAAATTTTTCTCGATTTTTCAAGGCTTCGTAGTTGTTTAAGGTCGACTCGAAACAGTTAAACTCAAAATTCCGATTATACTCGAAACATGTGTTTGAAATTTCATTAAGTATTACGCTCCTTTGTTTTGTTTCTTCTTGTTTGTTTAATTAATTTATCAAAAACGCATAATTTACTTTAAGCAACTGACTGTTCATTTTTTATTGTGATATAGTGAATTGTTTTAGTATCAGTAAATAAAATCAGTGCATCTTAAGATTTTCTCGTTTCTTCAATGGATCTCAACTCACAAAAATTTCACTTCAAAGGAAACGGAGGATTTATATTTTTAGTTCCAAGAACATAATAGATTGAGAACAAGATATGAACCGTGATAGCTAGATGGTATTTTTAATCAAGAAGATAAAAATTATGAAGCCCTCCTCGGTCTTCCTCTTTGACTATAGGTGGATCGGAAAATTTCATCGGTGAACAGTCAAAACTCAATGTCTTCATGAGAGTATTTCTTTATGTATAACAAATCATTTATATAAAATATGATCAATAACCTATTAGACAGTAAAAGAATACATATGTGACTTAGTTCTATCATACATGAAAGCAAAATGAATAAACCCTCAAAAGGAAATAAAAGAAATAAAATTCAGAGAATCACACTGAAATGAGTTTAATGAAATAGAGATCAGAGACTGAAGAAAATTTGAAATGAACTCGGAAGATAAGAGAAATAGAGAGAGCATGCAAATTGACAAAATGCTACCTCTCACTTCCTTTCACAAAGATAATACTCCTCCTCATAGATAGGCAATTAAAACCGCTAGGCCCAGTTCAGACACTTAAACTTTTCATCTGGAGAGCAGACGGACAAAAAGTTGAATGGAAGGTTAGATGCAAAACAATTTTATTCAATTACCGTTGTAGTGTGATATTGTGATGACACTAAACATAGGCATTCGGATAATTGTCGTCAACTTAATTACAGCTTTGGTTAATGTTTCATTGAATATTCCATTCAATTAGCACTGCTAAAGTTGTAAAGTTGAATATGACATCAGATTCAAGTTTCCTTTGAACTTTCATCCAATTGCTGTGTTCCCATGTCAATATCACACAATCCAACTTTTCATGGGCCAAAAGTGGAAGAAAAATTGGACAAAAAGTTTGACCGTCTAAATTGGGCTTTAGATTCAGCCTCTTTTTAAAACTTCAGCAAAACATGATAACTTCATTGTTTTGAGAAGCAATAATTTAGTTTAAGTGGATTTTCCACATTACTGGAATAAGAGACCAATTGAGAGAACCCAAATGCAACCAATAGCAGACATTTTACAGACAGTAATAGACTTAGCGGTACTTATGTTTGAAAGAAACCATATGATTTCCAGGTTAAAGACTCACCGGTATTCAAAAACTATTCTTGATTTCCAAGCACATGGTGTGTATATTGGACGGAATAGGATACTTCAAGAGAGGGGCTTCACTTTTCACTTAATTCCTTTTTACTGAACGCACTCTACTTCTATTAATGACTCTATCAGCAACAGTCCAACTCGATCAAGAAACTGAAAAATGTCGATGGGTTGCCTTCACTTAATTCCTTTTTACTGAACGCACTCTACTTCTATTAATGACTCTATCAGCAACAGTCCAACTCGATCAAGAAACTGAAAAATGTCGATGGGTTGCCTTCATATAACCTTTTTTCTCCTAATTCATTCTCCTACATCATAATAAGTAAAAGTCACTCAACTTAACCATTGGATTTTTTTTTATGATAAATTAATCGGCTCTAATAATGGCTTAATTGTCTCAAATCTAAGTAGTGTGGCCAGGGTGGGGAATAATATTCAGTCGGTTTTCCGAGTAAATTAAGTCGCAAAATTAAACATCTTTTTAAAGTAGATAAAGTGACAGTAATGGACAATTTGAAAATAAAGATTCAAAATCACTTCAAATTGAAGAAAAAAGATTCGATCACAATTAAACATCCCGTTAAAATTACCTCACACAATACTCCGCAGAAATGAAAAATCTCCGTTTAAACATTATGAAACAAACACTGCAATTAAGAAGCAAGAAGGGAAGCTATAACACAGGATAGATAAGACTGTAGATTCTAGTCACAGTCCATTATAATGCCATTAGACTTCATTCCGAGAAGGTGATTGTTCTGGAAAATAGGCAAGATAATAATTAAGGGAGTCAATTATATTAAAACAATCAAAGTAATTCAGAGGGTGATAGTTAAATGCTTCTCTCTTAAGTTCATTCTCATTCCAAATGCACACCATCAAAGAAGAAGAAAGAAATAACACGAATTTTTCAAACCAACTTGCCTATAAAAATGTTGATGGTTTCTTTTGTTACTTTTATGACGGCCATTTCATGGTGAAATCCCTATTATACAGACAAGTTGGGAACCAATTGGCTGATCAGTAAACAGATAAAAACAAATTGCAATGCGTTGCGTTTGCACATCTTAAATTTTAGGTTACATTTTCATGTTTTTTTTTGTTTTTTTTTAGGGTTTTCGGTGAGTAAAGCGCTGGGTGCAAAAAGTGCACTTCACAGATATTTTTGTGTTAACTGTGTCATCACTACTCCGGACTAAAATTAAAATTGAATTGTTAAGAGAAAGAAAGTTTATTCTCTATTACCACCTTCTTTAGAGAATAAATAGCTTTTCATAAACTTGCTTTTATAAATTATGAAATAAACTTAGTCAACAGAAATTAAAAGTCTGGACTTTCAGTGGTTAGATACCATATCACACTGAAACGGAACCAGTTATAGAATAAAATGGCATGAGGGACTTTTAAAATCTAGAAGCTACCAGACCAAAAGTAAGAGATAGTACAAAAATTTAATTTGCCAGATCATTACAAACATTCTGTGTATGCACAGGTTTTTCATAAGAACGAATGAAAGTTCTAGTAGTGATGGGTAGAAAGGCAATATGAGCAATTTTTGTGATTATATTATCAAAACGAATAAATTAGAGTAATGCTGCAATATGATGGGTGTCTAATTGTGTCATGCTTCATTGTTACAGGTAATATTTCCCTTGGTAAACGAAACAAATTTGAGGAATAATCCCTGCTTACCTGATTTTTCATTTCTTGATCACAGCAAGACAAATTTACAATAATTCTAGATCACAGTGGCGAATTTCTGGGAATTTCTTCTGCAACCAATAAATATGAATGAATTTTAGATCAAAATATAAATGCATAAATACTTAAAATTCAAGTTTTTTGAGGTAACCTCAACAAAGAGATTAGAGATACTGCAACATGAGTAACAAGGAATAATTTGATAAAAATGCAACATGAAGAAGTGTAGGAGTAAGCAGCTTTTCCTTGAGTAAATACTAAATACCTTAGATTAGCTTTAAATCCTTCGAAACAAAGCCCAAAACATGGAAACTCTGAGAAGTTAACTGTGACCAGTTATGTACTCGGATTTCATCTGTAGAAACTGTCCCTCTACAAAGCTGCAACAGAGCGCTAGCAGGTTCCTCGAGCAGAAAGCAATAAACAGTCAGCCGTGCCCAGTATTTCATGTCTTCTCTTTTCCAGTGACTCAATTTAAAAAAATTATTCAAGTTGCTGTTTCTTCCTCAACCTAACAAAGCCTACCAATAGATTTAATCTTCCAGACTCCTTTATTTCAAATGTGCTTCCTGAGGTGGAATGAAAATACCTACCTTCCACTTGTGTATAATACCTCTATCCCATTTTTTACCCTCCTGGCTGATGGGGTTACTTCTGGTACTTCTTTGCTGATTCAGTTAAAGATGACCTTGATTTCTTGCAACACCTACCGATTTCCAAGTTATCAAATTTTCCAAAACGACACGAAATTTAACAGCTAAAAAATTTGTATTTGTTGGAATAGCAGTTCTAGTCAGTTTTTGCTGCGGCAGTGAAAAGTAAGTGGGAGTAACCCCAATAGATACCTGGATTAAACCATTTTCCTATCTTTCCAGACGCAAAACACTCATATCAGTTTCTTCCAGGGGTTTTATGGAGTTAAATAATAAAGTACGGGCGAAGAAATAAGGGGCCAGTAAAAAAATGAAGGTCATTCACCGGCTCAACTGATCAAAATAAATGAAGTTTGGTGATCAGAATTTGAGTGCATTCTTATGTGTCGGACAGTGGAGTTTGACTCATTTGAGCTATCAACAAAACACATCCAACGACTCTTTCTAGAAAGTAGATGATTTACTTGAATGCACCGAGACTTACCCTTAATTTCAATTCAATTCGATCTATCTCTCCTCCAAGCATATCAACAATATTTTCACTATGGTTTAGGAGAAACGTTTCCAACTCTTCTGCAGTTTGCATTTTTTGTACTTCCTGTAGAAGGACAGACATAAGTATTAAGTTGAGGGGAAAAAGTTACATTGTCATAGATATAGGATGTACAACAGGCTGATCGTTCAAACTTATGTTAGCACGACAAGACCGGGGAGTGAGTTAGAGTCGCTATGTGCTGGCGCGCTCATTTAGTTACTTTTTAAGGCTATTTGTCCAATATTCCTAAACCTTGTAAGACAAACGGCAATGCCGCATATGCGGGCTCCCAGCTCAGGTCAGGTAAAATAAAAAAATTATTACATAAACCGGGAGTCCTGTAAATATTTTAATTTAGTATGACGTTTGTCAACATTATGATCCAATCTCCAGAGTAATTATCGATTGAAATTGCGGCAGTTGGAACTCTTTGTAACAACCTTCTACTAAAAGAAAATTCAATCCCCCGATCCTGAAGCACAGAAGGCATAGATTGAGGACACAGGTCACAATTCATTCTAAAGAAAATGATGCAGGCCCACCACAAAGATAAGATATTTAGAAAATATTGAGCTTCCTAATTTATCTAAAGGAAAACTGAAACTGTAGATAACCTGATTTAGAGCAGGTCCTGAAGCCAAAATGAACCAATAAGGTCATTTAAAAACATAAGTTCTTTTAATGGAGTGTACTAACAAATTTTAGCTTTGGAACCAGCTGACTTTAAATTGTCCGATAAATAAATTGAATCCTTCACTGAGTTCGCATTTCATCCAGCAAGGACTTTTCATCTAGCGATTTCAATCAGTTTCTATGACTACTAGATTGATCTGGAATGAACATTTCGTTGATCAAACTGTACTTTTCTTTTAGATTTGAGTGATGAAGAATGATTAATCGGGTGGGTGCACAGGAACCGAAATCAATTCATAACTAAGTTATCCAGCCAACAGCTCAAATTTTTGTAGGGCTAAGAAAATCTTATGAGTTTCAACTCAAGATAAAAAATTTAAATCCTCTACTACCTGCGTGTTGTGCAAATGGCGAGAGCAAAATTATATATTCTTGATTAGCAGCTGAGAAAAGTACTAACCTCTAGCATGGAATTGAGATCTTGTTTATCCAGGTAACTTCGAGCTAGCTCCCTTCCATCGAAATCCATCTCTGCCTTGTAACGAATAAGAGAGTTCCCCATGTCAATTCCTTTCACATCATGAATAGCTCGTATCATAACATCTGCTTCTAACTCTGCATTGATTTTATCTAAATATTCTTGAGGAATTGACCTAAAAATCAAACAAAAATCTTACTTTATGAAAACCGAGAGAGACAATGATTTATTTCCATGGAATTCATTCTCAGAACATAGGTAATGCTTGAAATATGATAACCATCTCGGCGTTTAAACTTTGATCTCCTTTCGACTAGGCCTCAACAGCCAAGGATTTGGCAAAACCTTGACTGCGAGCAACCTCAATGTATAATTGTATACAAACCTCAGTGGCAAGTCAGCTCTGAAAAGAAGGTTTAATCCAAAGGTTTAATCCTTCTCGGGGAGAAAATTCGTCGATGAGGAATTGACTGTGGTCTGATAAACCCTCCAAAGGAGAATTTCAAAATTCGAGTTTTTTTTGTGGATAATATAACCAAGTTACATTGGTGTCTAATTGTTTCAAATTAGTTCAAATTTGACTTAAAACTCACCTCCCCACAAGAGCAGCTACATTCGTATAAATAATGAAAGAGGCAACAGTTCCTAACAAGGAGCCCACTAGAAGAGAACCAATAGCATCTGGAATATGTGTATGGTAGTATGAGGTCAGTCCCATGCAAACACCGGTGACCATTACACTCGCANCATCCAGCAAGGACTTTTCATCTAGCGATTTCAATCAGTTTCTATGACTACTAGATTGATCTGGAATGAACATTTCGTTGATCAAACTGTACTTTTCTTTTAGATTTGAGTGATGAAGAATGATTAATCGGGTGGGTGCACAGGAACCGAAATCAATTCATAACTAAGTTATCCAGCCAACAGCTCAAATTTTTGTAGGGCTAAGAAAATCTTATGAGTTTCAACTCAAGATAAAAAATTTAAATCCTCTACTACCTGCGTGTTGTGCAAATGGCGAGAGCAAAATTATATATTCTTGATTAGCAGCTGAGAAAAGTACTAACCTCTAGCATGGAATTGAGATCTTGTTTATCCAGGTAACTTCGAGCTAGCTCCCTTCCATCGAAATCCATCTCTGCCTTGTAACGAATAAGAGAGTTCCCCATGTCAATTCCTTTCACATCATGAATAGCTCGTATCATAACATCTGCTTCTAACTCTGCATTGATTTTATCTAAATATTCTTGAGGAATTGACCTAAAAATCAAAGAAAAATCTTACTTTATGAAAACTGAGAGAGACAATGATTTATTTCCATGGAATTCATTCTCAAGAGAACATAGGTAATGCTTGAAATATGATAACCATCTGGGCGTTTAAACTTTGATCTCCTTTCAACTAGGCCTCAACAGCCAAGGATTTGGCAAAACCTTGACTGCGAGCAACCTCAATGTATAATTGTATACAAACCTTAGTGGCAAGTCAGCTCTGAAAAGAAGATTTAATCCAAAGCCTTCTCAGGGAGAAAATTCGTCGATGAGGAATTGACTGTGGTCTGATAAACCCTCCAAAGGAGAATTTCAAAATTCGAGTTTTTTGGTGGATAATATAACCAAGTTACATTGGTGTCTAATTGTTTCAAATTAGTTCTGACTTAAAACTCACCTCCCCACAAGAGCAGCTACATTCGTATAAATAATGAAAGAGGCAACAGTTCCTAACAAGGAGCCCACTAGAAGAGAACCAATGGCATCTGGAATATGTGTATGGTAGTATGAGGTTAGTCCCATGCAAACACCGGTGACCATTACACTCGCAACAGCGGCTAAATCTTCTAAAAATACGACTATCACACTGGGATCATTTCCTCTATAGACTGTGGACAAAGAGAAAGGTTGAAAGTTAGAGGATATTCCCATATGGCGGATAATGATGCTTAATGTGGGGAATGAGAGCGAAAAAAGGAAAAACGTAAGTTGTCAACAAAAATAATTTTGACATTGAAACTGAGTAAATAAAAAATTGATTCATTGGTGGTGTTTCAAAGTTTCTACTCCTACCTGCTTTATTTTTTTAACAGAATGTTGGTCAAGATTTTTCATGAAATTTTCAGGGGATTTTGCTCTCTATTTTTCTATCTGTGCATCACTTAGTCTCAAAGTAGAATGGCACTTAACATTACGCTAGCTTGGAAGACATTATCTCACTGATTGAGCACCTAAAAATGGTTTATTTCATTTGTCAGAAACGCCATGGTAAAAACTCAGTGTCATTTTAGTTTTCAATTTAGAGATGGTAGATAAAGCTACTTTAATGGACAAGGAATAAAATCAAGTTTAATTCCAGAGGCTGGAGTAGTTCAAGTATGAAGAATATCAATAGAAAAACTATCATACCCTAGGCACCAGCAGAATTACGAAATGATTACCCATTTCTAGCAATATCATCAAGTTTCGAATATTGAAATATTAATATTGTAATTGAATATTAATGTTGTAAATGAAATTAAAAATTGAAAGAATCTCTTAACTTCCTTGATTACTGCTGTACTTACTATACTCTTTGAAGGTCAAATTTGAAGCAGCAGCTCCTTTTCTAATTGAATTGACAGCAACAAGTAGCGTGGCACCTTCAGAGACCAAAGACCCGCCTAGAATGTAAAAAGCCTGAAACGGAAAAATGAAGCAAAATTAAAACTAATCCGCAAGGAAACTTGATGATGACATAAAACTTGGAATAACAACAGATTCAGTGACTCACCAGTGATACCCGTTAATTGCATTTTGCATAAAGAAACCAAGAGCATTCCAGTGTTGCTCGTTTTGTGCAATTTACATTCTTTGCAATAAAATCACTGAAATCATGGAAAAAAGTAAATTTAGAAAGATAATTTTCGGTTTGAATTCATAGTTTATTGGGAGTAAAGATAAAACTTATTTATGTGATCCGTTTATATTTGCAAGGTGAAAAAAGTTGTATAATCTTGGTGACATTGGAATGCTCGTGGCTCCTTTTTGCAAAATGAAATCCATGTAAAGACTGACAAAACGACATTAATAACACAAGGACCTCCTGGTTTTATAGCAGGGATGCACCGCTGCCCAAAAATGACATCCCTGCAACAATATTTGGAGCAAAAAGGGACTTACCCAATAGAAAGACTCCATTGGTGTCGGGGTAATAAGGCCAGTGATACCATGGTAAATTGAAAGACCAGTTCCTACACAAAAAATAGCTACACCAGAAATCAGTGAGGCAACATACTTCATGTTTGTGTAACCGTAAGGATGATCCGAGTCTGCTCTCTAAAAAAAAAAACACAATCATAAATTAAACGACTGATAATATTACATAATAATGTGCTTTTCAGAAAACAGTTTCCTCTATGTAACAACTCGCAAGCCACACAAAAGATGTGATGTAAAGGTTTTGTCCACCAAAAAAATATTGAATTTTCAATAAATTTCTTCTTAAAGCATATCACATGAAAATATTTTTGTCCCACATGCAGATTGCACACTTGCAGAATTGGGGGACTTTGATTCGATTTTTCACTTCAAGGCCAACTCATCTCAAAGGGGAAAGAATATGAAAAAGAGGGGAAAAATGAAACTAACTAATTATAGCCGATACTTCTCAATTTCTTGAAATTGTGCACCTTGTCTGTCTATCATAGAAAGACTAAAGGGTAGAGGTACCAAAGTCTTCTCTTATTTTAACTTGGAAATATACATTCGTACACAGGTGACTGAAGACTCCAAAGATGGGGTGTTTTTGAACTGAACAAAATCTCCTGAAGTTAACCTATTAGGCGGATAGTACAAATTTATTTTTAACTCAAGATGAAAGTTGCTCTTGACCTTAAAAACCATTTCTTGCAGCAATAAAACAAATTTTTTAAGTTAGATCATCAGTAAAACTGCAGAGAGGTGACTGCAAAAGGAAAATTTTGGTTTACAGCGTTAGACTTCCAGTCATACTTTGTTTTCTATATGAAAAATTATCTATCATTTCTCGGAAACTTTTTCCTTGAAAACTTCTCTATTTAATGAATATGCTATGAAAAATTCAAGCCATGATATTGGTTTCATCTCTTTTTAAAAAATAAAATAGGAGCGGAGATTTTCAAACACCGCTAATGATAGATGCATATTTGCAGTTTCACCGTCAAAACTTAACGATTAAACTGCTCTTCAAGAGGAGCAAATTTGCAATAAATTTTTTAGGCTTTCCTTACTCAATAAAGGCTGATCTTTTCATGTAGATGAATTTTCATTCATTATGGCTAACAAAGGCTTCATTAAAATTTAACAAACTTTAACGATTTACCTGCACTGACTTGTGGATACCATAAGCTAAAATTAATTGATTGGCAGTATCAGCAAAAGAATGTATGCATTCGGCAAACATGCTGTGAGAACCAGTGTAAAGCCAGGCAACCATTTTGAAGAGGAAGTTGCTTCCATTTCTAATGAACAAACAATCAATGACTTTAATTGTCATGCTTGAAGAATTTACGTTCACTTTTTGAAAAGACAGTTGGGGACAATACTTTTTCTTTTGGTGACAATAAAAATTTGAAAAAGTAATTACAAGTTTTTTTCAAATTGAAAATATTATGATAAAAATGATAAATACAATAAATATCAAACAAGCCACGATGCAAAAAAATAGAAAATAAAAAAATGTGGGTGGTTCAAAAGCTATGGAGTTGATATACAGTTTTGACATAAGGACTGTAAAATAACGTTACTGAATTGATTGCAAGGTTTCATCAACATCACTGGTCTTCATTATCGCATCTTAAGTTGTTTCACTTTTTATTTTGAGGGCAGTCTGAATGACTGAAGGATTCAAATTAATTAATTAGCAATTAAAAGGAATGTATGCATTCGGCAAACATACAGAGATAATCGGTGTAAAGCCAGGCGATCATTTCAAATAAGAAGTTGAATTTTAAAGGACTAAAAGTTTTATTTGTCCGTAACTAATTTCAATTTTCCTCTTGGAAATGGTAGAAAAGCCATTGTAGATCATAAATTGTACACCACAGATGACGGGTACCCTCTGAAATACTCACATAGCAACTGCTGTTATCACTACTTTGCCAGAGCTGCTCATGAGCCCTGAGGTCTCACGCATGGCCTCTTCTTGGGGCGAAGTCCGTCTGAAGGTACGCAGTTTCCTTTTTAGAGTAAACATACCTGGGAGACATGCAGACAATTGAAAAAAAAATTTTATTAAAAGGTATTTAAAATTTCTATTTATAGATACTTGTGAAGAAAAATGAATAAATGCTAAGAAGGGAAGTGATCAAGTGGAAAAGAAGTAAAAACACCAGTTTTTACTTCGATTTTGCACGATCAGCAGAATTAATTGTACTATTCTATTTTCAAAATAATAAAACACACAGCTATTGGGATATTGCAAAATATTTACTTGACAAAAGAAAATTACTGAAAAGCATAATCATATTCCTGAAGAAGAAAAACAAATTCTTGACAAGTGGCCAGTTTACTGGTAAAAGATGAATTTGAGGTAAAAAAAATTACCTATAAAATATATCTGAATGCTACTACTTACTCAATATGCTACTTACTTTGATGATAATACTTTTGTTCTAATTCTTTTTTTAAGATTTCTTTCAGAAGATTCTCCTTGGATCCCCATTTTTTCATAGCTCTATAAGATAAGACAAATAAACATCACAAAATAATTAAAATAATTTAAATTTTTTTTTTGTTCTTGACTGGGAGAGCATTACACTGTTTTCTCATTATGTCAACACTTCGGTGATGATTTACAACTTTGCTTGTATTTCTTTAAATCCATATTGAAGTAAAACATTTAGGATACAGTGAAAAGAATACACATGGCCTATAATGAGCAAATGAAATGATCAATTTCAGGGGATAGCAAAATTGACACTACATATGCTAAGAACTTACATGGCTTCTACATCTTTCCGCCAAAAGACAGGAATGGGTGGCTCATTTTCATAGGGGGATCTTCTTTTGGTTGCTCGTAATCCTTGAAGTTCCTCTGGTTTCAGCAAAAAGTCTGAAATAGCTCGAGCTGGAGTGATAAAATTTCTCTCCAATGAGCTGGCACTTAAGTCTACACGTATTCTTGGTTTTTTTGTTGGGGCTGCAGCTAAAAGACAAAAGTTTTATTGAACAACTTTAAATTCAAAACTAAAGACAAAAACGAGACCAATTTTCAGAGTTGGGCTCTTGACCCCCTGTCACTTGAAAGAAAATTCATCACTTTAAATATGCTTATCTATCTTCAAATTTGCTGAATTTTAAAAATTATCCTGATTAAATATAAGTTTGAGGACAATTGTGCTCATTTACAGCTTTTATCATCATCAATCTAGATAAGAGCATTCTGGCACTCAGCAAAAATAAAACTATCATTTGACCCTACTGCTTCCTATTTCATTAGATTTTCTCTGCTTTCAAACAAGAAAATACTCACATATGTAATTCAGTCTGTCATTCAACTCATTCTCTTTAGACTTAATAGACATTTTCCCATGTGCGCGATACATATGACTGCTGACTTTTGACTTTTCAGTGTTTTTTCATGTTACTTGAGACATGACAACATGAAGAGAAAATATTAATGTTTACATAAATTATATAAAAAGAGGGATCAAAAGCAAAACTTGCAAATAACTTGGGGTCTGTCTTTTCTACCTGTCTGCTCCTCTTCACATCAATATCAGGAAAAGAAAATTGATTGAAAAAAAAATTATATTTTCAAATATGCAAACTTCTTCCAGTTTTAGTAACAGATGGGTTCAGAGATGATGGTAAAATATTATAATAAAATGAGAAGTTGACATACCAAGTTCAACTATTCGCTCCAACTTTTCAGTCATTGGCTTTTTTGGTTCATCATTTTCTCCTGTTGTAACAACTGCTGCCACATTTTCACCTCCTTTAGCTTTTGATATTTTAGATTGTTGATCATTCTTCTTCTTTTCATTTTTTTTGGATATTTTGTCTAATTCATTTGAGTCTGGGGTATCTTTCAATGAGGCAAGGGTGCGCCAAAATAGTCTGAGTTGCACTGGCTGGTTAGATATTGGAATAGCTGAAACAGAGCAGTTTCAAAATGAGTCTCACTATTAATAATTTTGTTGAATAAACAAACTGAGGCAATTTTTAAAGTTTCTTCCTAAAATTTCCTGAGATCCAAAACAAGACCTTATTCCTAAAGATTTACTCATCATTTCTCTTATAAAACAGAGTTTTCACAAGGTATCGACCATCTTTGATTTTTGGAACAAATTTTTGACATAAGGACACTAAGTATAGGAGTCCTCTTCAAAAGTGTTAAGAATTCGAGTCAACCTCTACAATTTTCAAGTTTTATAGACGCAAATCACTTTCTTCATTTGTCGGTATTCTCAGATGGCCAAGACTCTAACTTGAACCCCCAGAAGAAACCTAGTGGTGTCCATTCTGTGAATGTGATCCTGTGTCAGAGCTGGAAAATAAACTAGGGTTGATGCAAGGAAAGAACACCATAATAAGAGTAGATTAAAAAGAGAAAAAATACACAAACCTGCACAAACAGGGGACAGGAACACATCGCTTTTCTGCTTTTTGGCAACATTTGCTACGAGATGCACAAGAAATTGTGATCTCTTAAGCATATTCACACAGGTAACAAAGGCTGAAGAACAGAAAGGGAAAAAAACAGGCTACATTATTGGATTAAAAAAATCAGAGTGATTTTAAACAAAAGAGATAAGCGGAGACAAAACCTTGTGGAAAAGTTAACTTGAGAAAGACTGAGTCTGAACTAAGTAAATTTTTCATAAAAGATGGGTTCGGATAAAAGCAAGATGTGGCATTCTGTAGGTCTCTTAGAATTCTTTAGACAAAAAGGCTATTAATTTTTCTGAGAAATTCTAACTCCCCGATTGACAGACTTAAGCCTGGCGCTTGCAACCCAGAGAAAAATTATTTGAGAGACCATAAGACTTCCTGATGAATAACAATTTTACTTAGAAATCATCCAATGTCTTCTGCTAGATATTTGTAAAGCACTAGGTTGAGAAATCTATTTAACAAACAAGATCTAGTTAGACAATAATTTTTAGAAAATGCTGAATAATAAACCAGAGCTTCATTGATAACATCGAGCGAAGGAATGGCTCACTTGTTGCTAGTTGAAGAGTATTACTTAGACCAAAAAAGGGTGAATGTACAAAATTAGAAACTGTTTCATCAAGTCGGTTTTTTTAAAACCTTAACCTTACATCAGACTTGATACTTTCCCAAAAGCATCATTAGAATTTAACCTCTTTCAGCGGGTCTGGCAGTTTATTGTGGGGTCATGAAATTGGGGCTCTGGGAAAAGTCAAGCTAACGAGGGTGAAACGGAAGATTTTGAATAAACATTATTACTTACCCTTTTATTTCAACTAGTACGAAACTTGGACGACTGAGCTCATAATTTAAGTCTCAAAGGGCTGGAAAATTTTGAGTGAAATATGTTATCACTCATAAGTCACTAAGAGGACATATTAGAGAGAATGAAACAAGCGAAATTTTTTTTTACACTTTTCACTCTCAGCTTGCAAAACTTGTGAGAGGAAAGACTGAGGGAGCACCTCAAGGCGAACTACAAAAAGCCGAAATTGTAACGAAACAAAATACAATTTTTATGGATAAACTTGACTTTCCTCTTCAAAAACATCCAAAGGTAAACACACACATAACCTAGAAATGTGACAGGCGACACGATTGCATCAGTGTTGCCGCATGTTTTCTACTAATTCACACTAGTGAGTGAAATCAACTCATGGGGTGGGGGGACTAAGGGACTTGTGAAAATAATTCACGTGATCAATAGATAGCACAAATGAGGGCATCCAGCGTTACTTTGAAAATGTCATTTGTTACGTTGCAATTTTTCCAGTTATCTATTTATCTAAATTTTTTTTTGGTCTTATGAAACAGTAAATTTAGAGCATTCCAATGTCGCTAACCTTGCAAACATAAACGATCATCTAAACTAGTTTCACCTCTACTCCCAATAAACTATGAATTCAAGACGAAAATTACCGTCGCAAAGTAGAGTACCTTTATAGACCTCAGTTGCACAATCCTAGCAACATTGAAATGCTCTTAGTTCCTTTTTGCAAAATGCGATCCAATTGGTTGTTGCTGCAAAAAAATAGTTTCCCACAACCTGCTATACAATGCTCCAGTGACCATGTA